CCAATGGTAGGCTATGAATACTCATATGATTATTGTACCTCACTAATGACATCATGCAGATAAGAAACTACAAGACCACTCAGAGTCTCAAATCAAACGAAAGGAACCTGGTATTCAACAGCTAGCAAGAAAATACAATGAGTTATGTGGAGAATTGGAGGCTATGATTAAGAAGAAACAAGCACCACGTGGTGCTCGTGCACCTCATCCTATTGCCAGTGAAGGATTGTTCAAGCTGGATGTTGATGATGACATATGGCAAGATGTGGGCCTAGATGAGACTGATATTTCACCTGGAGGAGAAATCCCCAAATGGTTGGGTGATGAAAATGTTCAAAAGGGAATAAAATCCATGCTTGAGTTGGATAGATGTAATGAGGAAGAAAGGAGACTATCATATGAGAGAAGTGCCATGCAAGATTGGCTCATGGAGGAGTGGAGATGTGTAACAATGGCTATAGAGAATGAATGTGAAGAAGTAGTCTATCAGATGGTCTTGCGTGCAGAATTCTTGGCACGCTTATGCAACAACTGGCAAGACAAAACACGTATGATTGATCCTCACAAACCTATGCCAGATTCGTGGGGACCCTCACTGGAAGATCTTATGGAGGCACATAAGTTGGACATGACTGCCATGGTTGCTGAGAATGAAAGAGAGATATATGACAACGACAATGAAGAGGAGGAAGATGATGAGGATGATGAGGGTGATGAAGAAGAGGGTGAAGAGACAGAGTTATTGGAGGCTGTTGAGATGATAGCTTTATCTGATGAGTTTCGAAATAGCTATACAGACTCATTGTTTTGACCATTGATAGGATGAAAGTGTATATAAATAGTGATAAGTATCACTTCAGAAGAGTTATGTATTACAAAGTGTTGAAATATATGATTTTGGATTGTAACTTCAATAAGAAACAAACAAAAAAACCAATGTATGAAATGTTGAGAAACCTGCACCGAAAAAACCAAGTTTTTTTTCTGAAACTGGGACCCCAGATACCCCGTGACACTGGTTGGAAATGTTCTAGCCATGTGACAAGGCAAAAAGATTTTTGAGCAGTGTGACATGGCTAGAACATATCCAAGCAATGTCACACCACTGAAACATTTTTAGCCACTCTGGCACACCTCAAACATTTCTGGCCAGTTTGACTTGGCTCAAATATTTCTTACCAGTCTGACACACTTCAAACATTTCCTACCACTCTGACATGCTTCAAACATTTCCAACCACTTTCAGATGGCTAGGATATTTTTCAATACAAAATATCAACCCAAACATTTCTAGTCACAATCTCAAAGGTCAAACATTTTCTACCCAATCCAATATTATATTTTCTCCCAATGGCAAAAAAATAAATGGCCGGCAGAACCTATTAGCCTGGATACATTCTTACATTTTACAAGGCTAATAGCTTGGTCAAGGTGGGTGACTGAAGTGTATGAAATCACCCAGGCAGGGATATGAAATTGCCTCAGGCAAGAAATGAAATGAATATGAAGTAGCCCAGGCAGGGATATGAAATTGCCCAGGCAGGGATATGAGACTGCCCAGGCAGGGATATGAAATTGTCCAGGCAGGGATATGAAATGAATATGAAGTAGCCCAGGCAAGGATATGAAAAGGCAATGAAATAAGGCTGGGTAGACAATGAAATGGAAGGCCAGGCAGTAATGAAATTGCAATGAAGTAGTATTGAAATATGTCTCAGGACAGTTATGAAATAGTCATGAGAAGCACTGGTAAAGAAATGAAATACATTTCATAAGTTTTGCCTACTCTTCTCATTTCATAAATTCATTAGGCAGTGTGGATGTCGGTGTGCAGGCACTTGCCTGTATTTTATCATAAAAGTGGTAGCTACTAGTGTCACTAAGCTCAATAACCTCATTTGAGAGCGCGTTGTCGAGTTTTGAACTGCTTTGCATGCTAGTGCCTTGGTCAAAGATGATTGAGCCTGGGGTAGTCGTGGGGGTAGGGTTGGGGATTGCAGGTAAAAGCTGCAAAAAAAGGTGAAACAGATGCAAAGCACGAAGAAAAGAGGAGCTACCGGTACATAGACACCGGTGGCAACAGTAGCCTTCTTCATTCTTGATGGTGCATTGCGGAGAAATGTATCAACGACAGCTGGGGCTGCATTTCGAAGGATCGGTCCAGGTACCCAGACGTCGAGGCTTGTGCAGGTCGCATCACCTTTCACGACAGCATTTTCATCCTCAAGTGCTCGTCGCGCACCACTCAGCGCAACAACAGGGAGAGGTCTGAGCCACATTTCGATGCCGTAGGATTCAAAGGCGGAATTTGATTTGAACTTGTTGTCCTGTTTGTAGATGTGACGGATTGATGACGGTGTTAATAACGACTGTGGTTCCGGTGAGTTATGAAGCTGAAATGGGCATGAGGATCTCGTAAAATACAATCATATGGTTGGTGCATACTTGAGAAAAAGTCCGGATGCAGTAGCCAGGCCAGACATAGCGCTGAAACTTGTCAACAATGGTTGTCCCCCATCCAAACAGGCGCTCGCAATGGAAAGCAAGCTGTTCTGTATCAGGGAACTGAGGTTGAAGATTGTCAAATTGAGGGCCGCAGCCTCCTTTTGACCAGGATGTAACAGGGCGGGCATAAAGGTAAACAACGTGAGGATTTGGGAAGTCGTCAGGAATTTTGCTTGCTAGGGTAGTGCGATGGTTTGGGAGGTCACCGTTAGGATTGGTGATCAAGGTTTTCCGCAGCTGGGATCGCCACTCTGGAATGTAAAGCTCAAGCTCTGCTTCCGTCGAGCCTTCCGCAGCTGCGAGCAAGTCGGCAGCCAAAGGGGTAGACGATAGCGTAACCGCCGTGACAATCCCACATCCTGGCAGGCCGACCTTCAAAAGAGCTATTAGTTAGAGGAGAAGGCAATGTAAACATCGGAAGACTCACAGTATCGTAATCAGCTCCACATAAAACGGCAGTCAATAGAAAACCAGCTCAGGTTAGATATTTTTTACCTGCCATAGCGGCAGTGTCCTTTGTCACGTAAATTTCAGCATCATCGTCGCCGGGTGTCTTTATGTGGAGGCTGAGCAAGTAAGATAGCAATATTAATAGTGTTGGTTGAGTCTATGCAGGAAAACCAACTTTCTGATAAGCCGCGTTCCACCGAAAAGGAAGTAGTCGCTATCTGTTGTAATAGCGAAGTCAATGATTCCATGTCTCTCGAGTTCTGCGAGCTCTGCCTCTGCTTCCCCTGGGGCCTACCAGAGCAAAATAAGGAATCATGATAAGAGAAAGGCTATAAGAATACGAAACATACCATATGAAATTTATAACGGAAATCTTTGATCAGCTTGATTAAATACTTTACAACCGAGTGGTCCTTTTTCTTGACTGTGGTGCCACATTTGCAGTTTGGTCGCTCGGGTCCATCAAAAACAAATATTGGAGTGATCGGATAATGAAGGAGATGTGCCAGGCGGAAGAAGAGCGTTCGAAGCTCTGGGTTTTCACCAGCTTGTGTGTGCAGGCCACGCACATAGAACACTGCTTGACATTCTACAATCCAGACACTGTACCATTATCAACACCTGTAGTTGCTAATAAACCAAGATAGGGATTTTACCTTGCATCAATTCCCACTACTAGCGTTCGATTTTTTCGTGCGTTTCTTAAAAACCCTTCTCTAACAGCTAATTCAACAAGGGACACTGAACGCTTCAGCGGTTCTAGTTCCTGCAAAACCAACGAGTAAGAATATGATTCACACAGCGGAATTCCACATACCTTCCAAACATTAGGGATTCCCATTGTTGACGAAATACTGGTGGTAATGGTAGTAAGATAGGACGATGTATGACAAAATGTCTCAGATTCTCCATCTCTACAATTGACGAGGCAGTACAATATTTTCAAGCAACCATAACCTGTACAATTGCGCTGTCCACTACGCACAGCCCGAAACAGCTTCTGAGCAATTCTAAATCTATCCTGTAACTTGCCCATCAGTCATTGCTCAGTCGTATGCTAGAGTGTCCAACTGACCTTAAACCCGACTGAAGTACTACATAGAATACCTCCAACGTGGGGGTAAGGCGAATACAACAACAACACAGAGGATGCAGTCTTCAGAAGTAAGCATAGCTAGGGCTCCAGCTATCCAAAGAGTACAAGCTGGGTTGTGAGGGTGTAGTTGACGTTAGTGAACCCTATGTATGACTAGATGACCTGTGTATGGCGTTAGCTCAAGATTTCAGAGGGTATTGAGGTGATTTACGCTACAGGCACGCACAAACGATGTTTCCACCCCTGGCCAAACTGTGGCCACGAATCCAGGTTGTCTGCGCATAAAATGCCTGCTTGACAGGAACTGGGGGGCGCAGCTGCTCATGCATCTATGACAATCAGGAGGATATGAGGATTCCAAGTGGATTTTGCGGATGGAAACCGGTGGTCTATGGAGGTCGTGCAGGAGGGCCACCTGTGAGACAGCAAAATGCGAGGAGGCGCACCGGCGAGAGAGCGAAGAGGGTGTCGTGGATGTAGGTGAGACTGAGGCGATGGCGTACTCAGCAAATATGAGCGAGAACCTGCATCACACCCTTCAAATTTCAAAGGTGTGTATGTTGAGCGCCTTGTTGACGCCAAGGCATTCAGATCAACAAACAATTCGGACTCCGCCCAACACCTTCATCGCCAAATTCTTCTACTTTGAACCATGTGTTGTCGAATTCATCTTTGAACCTTCAATAAGAATTGTAACTGACCCAAAACAAAATGTCCTTGCAAGTAATGAAGATTTCATATTTTTTGGGCTGGAATTGCTTTTGGAAACATGGGTTTAAGGCTTCCCACTCTGAATTTAAGAAATAACTAGTAGTAAGTAAGAAATAAGCTGAAGGTAGCTTAAATTTAAGCTAGATTTAAGAGAATTTAAGGAGCCGAATGAGAATTTAAGGAGCCGAGAGGAACATCGTTATGTGTGGACAACTGCCAAGGGCTTCGCTTTCGATCACATCAAGTACAACCCTTGAATACGAATAGATGGGCCTAGCCTGGCTTAGCGCTGTCAGATCTAAGCGGGAATCTCATGCTTCCTACACTACAACCTGGTGTATCAAGCAAGCACTCAAGGTTCAGCTATGCACATTGAGTGAGGCGTTCAAAACAGCATGTATTGTGAATCAATGTAGATGTATGGTTAGTTGGTTGTAATGAATCTATAACAGATGATAGATGGGTGATTATGATAATGTTTTGACCCCGCGAGAATGAAGGGGGTAAGGTTTGATCATACAGTAGATGAGATAGGGAATGACTGCACCGCTGTGTGAGTCCATGGAAAGGGGTTTCTTGGAGAGGCATACCTCAGGTTCATAACTGCTGAACTGATAAGCCGAGCCCTCCAGGCGAACGCCGGGGAACTCAACGACATACAAATCCCAACAAGGTTCTGTATCTTGAACTCGGAGAACTTCACATTGAAACCACGCCTTTGCACTATACGCGCACATTACCGGGTAGCCAGGTGTGAATCGTCTTCCGGCTTGGCTCCAGTTACGACCGTCTTGACGGATGCAAAAATGAGAGCAGTTGTCTTGTGTTCAAGGCGCATGATAACAGCTGCAAAATGCTAAAAACGCGAACAGTTCACAGGGTTGTATGTTAGAGAATGGTCAATACCTTGTATTATACTCGGTGTTACGAGCATGGAGTGCGATGGTCTTCAGATCGAGGCAGCAGTCTAAATTCACCGTCGTGACAATACTCCGAAAAAAGAAAACCATTCACCTTAGATTTTATCAGAACAATCTTAGACGCAAAATGAGAGCAGTTGTCTTGGGTTCATGAATATACACAATAACAGCTGCAAAACACTTGTTGTGTTGCGCATTGGAGAATAGTCAGTACCCGGAACCTATTGTATTCAGCGCTGCAACATGGAGTGTGATGGTCTTCAGATCGAGGCGGCGGTGTAAATTCATGAGCATGACGATATTTTGAAGGTTGGGTACGATGCCCTCTACGGCAGTGATACGCTGTTGCTCAAGAAGTGCAGGGGTAGATGGAACGGAGGTAAGTGGTACTTGGTACACTTCTGTTTCTTTTTCGGGTATCAGGTCCGAGCTGATTGATGGCTTGGTGATGGCTCCGTGATGGCTCCCGAGCAACAATCGCTCAAAGCCTGAGCAGACCTGAGTGCCGGCCAGATCTGAGTGTCGCCCCTGCACGGTAAGAGATTTTTGAGATCTTCACATTTAACAGCTTTAAGGAATCCTGTTAAATTGGCAGATTTAAATCGACTTATCTAGTATTTACACCAGAATAGTGTGGCTACTACAATTGCAAAATAGAGTAAGTATTGCATTTCCACATGAAAAATGAAGAGAAAGAGGGAAAATAATAGAGGAAATTCAATAAAGCTAGAAAATCAGAAAAATAAATTAAAATTAAAATTAAAGTAATAAAGTAATGTTAAATATTGGTACAATATGCAGGGTCTGTGCACATTTTCCAATATGGTAATCAACATAAATATAGGCAGAAAAATAAATAAAAATTCAAATGATATGTGATAATTTTGATGTACTGTTTACTTCATCTGTGCATATTTCCAAGTATGGTAATTAACGAAAATATAGCCAGAAAATTAGAAGAAAAATAATGTACTATTACTGACAATATTGACCTACTATGAACATAGTTTGTGCACATTTTCTAATATAGTAATTGATACAAATATAGCCAGAAAAATAAGGAAATGGACCCATTGTTGACAATATTGGGTATATACATGGCCTGTGCAAATTTGCTAATATAGTAATTAATACAAATATAATTAGAAAAATGAAAAAGATCATGTGATGTAAATAGATCTTGGTGCACTGTTTACTTGGTCTGTACATATTTCCAAATATAGTAAATAATGAAAATATATCCAGAAAATTAGAGCCAAAAGAGGAAAATAATAGACTATCATCAGGAATATTGAAAAAAAAAGGACAGACATACTATTGACTGTTATTGACAATGTGAGTGCATGGTGGACATGACCTGTGCATATTTCCAAATAGGGTAATTTGTGCAAATATAGCCAGAAAATCACAATAAAATGAAGGTAACATTGGGGAAAATGTAGATGGTAATTACTGGTGGTCATAATGTTGCAGGGCTGATTTTGGAGTCCATTTTGCATTTTAAATGAGAAATATTACTATTTTAAATTAAATCATTTATAAAACATGGTAAAAATGAGAAAAAATAGGACTTCTTGTTGGGTACTGTTGTCAAGGTCTAAAATCTATATCTAACAAACAAAATTCAAGTATTTCTAATAGAGAGATCAGAATTCTGTAGGATTCTAGTCATTTCTGTAGAAATAGATGGGGCACAGTAAAGTACTGGCAGTCATGATAGGGTTCAAGAAAGAAATTCAATATGTCACTATAGTCAACAAATACAAATACATCACATATACATTTACATGAAACATCAGACTCTGACAATCCTCAGAACTCTCCAGTGCTCAGGAACATACCTCTATGGGAGTGAGAAAATAGAGCTAGCATACACTGCGGGAGTGGGCTTGTTTGCGCTACGGGAAAATTGTAAATAGAAGAAAGATATAATAGAATCTTGTTTCGGGTCAAAGCATCAGATCAAACTGGAAGAAACTTGAAATATATTCTCTCTGTTGTCTAGGGTTTATCTGCTACCCCAAACTAAGATATATTTTAAAAATATTCTATTTAAGTTTGAGAAGAAAGGGGGAAGGTATTCATGATATATCCGACAAAAAGGCAGTGCCTGGAAGGTGAATGATAAGTAACGGCCCTGCCGTCA